GGAAAGAAAAAAAATACGCATTTTTTGTTTTTTTTCTTTCGCGAGAGTCACGGTTTTGCTTTCGCGAGAGGCACGGTTGTGCCTTCGCGAGAGTCACGGCCGTGCCTCTCAGAAACGAAAAAAACGCGTTTTCTATTTTTTTTCCTTCCACGAGAGTCACGGTTTTGCTTTCACGAGAGGCACGATTGTGATTTCGCGAGAGGCACGGGTGTGCCTCTTTCGGAAAGGGAAAAAATCGTGCTCCTGGTTCTGTTTTTTCGCCCTGTTATTTTCGTTCGATTTTTTTCGTGAATTTTTTTTTGTCAAAACCTATCAACATGGGATCTAGTTTTGAAGATCTCGACGTGAGAAATCCAATGATGAAAACGGTTCAAAATTTGGACGCACGGTTTAAGAGATAAAACGTTTTAAATAAATGAATCTACGAAAAAAGAAAAACTCCTATGTTGCGACAAGTGGCGCACTGCATGTACGCCACTTGTCGCGACCTGAGAAAGTAGAGCGTTCTTTGCAACGAATACTCCTTAATTAGTGATTTCGGAGTTCTAGTCTTGCTACAATGCCCCAGATGTTTCAGAGCAACACCTAAAAAAAAGATGTTTCAGAGCAGCGACTTCAGGGAAGTTACTTTCGAGTTTGAGCTAGAGAATGTAATTTTGAAGCTCGTGATTTAGTTAAGACAGCTGTTTCACTGTCAGTGGATCGCCACATGTGGCTAGAGTGCTTACCAGACATTATTTGTATTCCTAAATGTCATTGAGTTTTAATAAAGTCCCTAGTTCATCTAAAAAAAGAAGTCGCTCCCCCAGATCTGATGTTTGCCGAACCAACGAGCCCACACGGCAAGCCTCTTTTGAAGCGATATTAAGACATGAAGGCCCAACCCGAGAAAATAGAAGAGAAGACGTCCCTCAGAAAAAAAAAGAGCGAGAGAGGACACGGAGGGGTCCGGAGGCTAGAAAGAGAAGAAGGCTCTCGAGCGGCGGCTGCGCGACGAGGATATGAGCGGCGAGGCGGCGGCCGGCGGCGGCGGGGAGGCGAACGGCGTCCAGCCGAACGTGACCATCTACATCAATAACCTCAACGAGAAGATCAAACTCGAAGGTATCTTTCCCCTGCTTGAGCCCTCTCGCCTTCCTCCGCGCCCCCCTTGTCTAAACCCTAGGGAGATTCTCGCGGATTTCTTCTTTCCCGTGTAATGTATTCGCTACCTCTGGCTCGCCGTTGTTCCTCTGCGCTGGCCCGGTGGAAATCTCGGCGCTTCTCCAGGACACGTTTTGCCAGACACGTTGGTGCCCGCTAATGAAATTCCGTGTGCCAAGCCCGGCTGTTTTCCGGCGGAGGTAGTCGTTGTCTCGTGGAGAAGTGCCGCAGATATCTCGCGGATTAGTGGTTTAGCGTGTGCTGGTGTTAGAGATCTGGCGGTCTGCTTAATCCGAGGGCAGTCCTCTTTGTTTGATGTACCGAGCTAATAGAATCGAATCTGGGTCATGAAAGTAAGATTACATTCTCCAGTTTACCGAAGAAAAACAGCAATTGCATACCCTGTACTGCATCTCTGAATTTTGAAGTCGTTACAGTCGTTACAGATTTCTGCTGAGCCTTATTTAGTTTTACTTTTTGGAACCGATGCGGCTGACTAATATAATTTGCTGAATTCTTTACAGCACTTAAGAAGTCCCTCAATGCCGTTTTCTCCCAGTTTGGGAAAATCATTGAGGTGCTTGCTTTCAAGACTTTGAAGCATAAAGGGCAGGCATGGGTTGTGTTCGAAGATGTTGCATCAGCAACTGAGGCTTTGAAGAGGATGCAAGATTTTCCCTTCTATGACAAACCCATGGTGAGTTTACAGCTGAATTGGTGTTACAGCTTTGCTTGTCCCATAATTTGATCTGATCTGATTGTTACTATATCCTGTTTTTTTTTTAGATATGTTACTATATCCTGTTTTTTTTTAGTTATGTTACTATATCCTGTTGTTCGTTGTGTTGTTAGCCAAGCGTATTGGGTTTATGAATACCATCTCAACAGAAAAAAGAGCATCTCTACTGCTTGCAATTATGTCATAATGTTATGGTTTGTCTAACATAATCTAGCATTTAAGCTTATTCAATTCTTTCTATTGAAGCGGTTTGTTCTAAGCAACATTACTGCCTAGGTGGTCTATAATCTAGCTTGTTTGTGCTTAGATGACACTCCCTCCGTACCAAAATATAAGCTTGTTGTGCTTAGCGGAAAAAAACGTCTTATATTTTGATACAGAGGGAGTATATTATTTGTATATACTAGGTCCCTTACTGGGCATGTCTAGTCAATACCAAACTAAACTTGAGTTGTTCAAATTGCTTAACTAACTATTGCACACATGCACATATGCTCTTTCATCTGCTCCTTTGCATTGCATTTTGACTTCTGAAGCTGTAGTATTTTTGTCACTCATGAAATCTTGTCTATTTGATTTCAGAAAATTCAATATGCCAAGACCAAGTCAGATGTTGTAGCAAAAGCTGATGGCACTTTCGTACCTCGAGAAAAAAGGAAGAGGAATGATGAGAAACGTAAGATCCCGGTTAATGTGCATACCCCTTTACATTTGCGGTTTTACTTTGGCCCCTCGGAACTTTATCTTGGTTTGCACTTCTTTATTTTGTTTGGACACGTAGCTTGCCATTTGTTAGCACGGTATGTTCAATATATTTTGTAAAACTTAACTGAAAGATGTGCTGGAGATGGACTCTGTTGCACGTAGCCATGGATTGTTGTTTATAACAGGTTAATAAATTGACTTGAGGAGGTATTGGTGTCACTACTAATACATTATCATAGTTTTCACTTTTCCTCTGCACATGTAGTGGGGCATACATTACTGCTAAAATGTTTAAAACAGCAAGAATCAGACCTTTTGCGGTCCTTGATTCCAGTCTTCAGTCCCCCATTTAAACATTTTTCTTAGGTGGTATATGCAGATTTTGCAACTAAGCTCAATAGATGCACTCATTCGCCTAAAAAAATCCAGATTATCTAAAAACAAAATTTCTTTTATTCTGTTCTTGCACTTACTGTTACTTCTACGAGAGTACCAGTATTAATTTGAATAGAAGCAAAAGATCAATAAAGCAGTCGTCGCCAGGTCTAAATATCAGATATCTGTTCAATTCACTGTATTTAGCTTTACACACTTTGTTGATAGAGTTGCTTCGTACTGGGAGGTACTACTTGTTTTGCTGGTTTTTTATACGAGCTTATGGCAACTTGGCATCCTTTTAAATTCACGAGCAAAACTTAGTCTGCCTTGTTCTTTGATAATGCAGCTGAGAAGAAGCAGAAGCGTGAGCAGCACCATGATGTTAACCAGGCTGGTGTGGGCATGCATGCCTATCCTGGTGCTTATGGGGCTCCGCCGGTAAGTGCTGTAGAATTGATTAGAAATGTTCTTATTTATTCATTTTCTGTTGCGTAGAGGTTTTTGTTGTTGCATATGAACGATGGAATATGTTCTTGTGACCATGTTTTCCAAGCTCCATTCTTCTTTGCTTTGTGTTCACATACACAATCTCCTTTTAACTTCTTTGCTAGACATCCTGCCTGCTGTTTTGTTGTTCTATTTTGGGAATGGAGTTTGTATGTCTGCAAGCCAGTGATTCCTGCTTGCATAATTATGTAAGTAAAATTGGCATTCAACATATTAAGGCGATTCACTTTGCTTCGAGAAATAGCTTGAGATTTAGCAGGGAATAGTCATGACTCAGACTTAGCGCAAAGTTTGCTTACTATCATATATACGCCCAGTACTATGACTGGGCATCTTTCCACGTTTATTCTGTAATTAGTTTTCTTCACATCATTACTGGCTTGACTTTTTCTTGTGCAGCTCTCTCAGCTACCTTTTGGTGCGGGACCGAAGGTCATGATGCCAGAGATTATTGTACCAAACAACATTCTCTTCGTCCAAGAACTCCCACACGACGCGACCGCTTTGATGCTGCAGATGTTCTTCTGCCAGTACCCCGGGTTCAAGGAAGTGCGGATGATCGAAGCGAAGCCCGGTATCGCTTTCGTGGAGTATGGAGACGAGGGGCAGGCAACCGCAGCCATGAACCTTCTTCAGGGTTTCAAAATCAAAGAGAACCCAATGCGCATCACATATGCGAAGAAGTAACTTGATGAGCTGTATTGACTTGAATTAATGTTGTAGGCCTGTTTTTGCACCATCTGGTAGATTTTCTTCACATGTAAGGTAGACTACATCATCCAGTAAATTAATGCGTCCATGCTTGGAAGCTATTTTCAGTCATGTATTTGGGTTTGGCATCGTTGTGATAATCTTTTGTCAAATCATATGTTGCCAATTCCGTCTAATAACCATTTCCTACTTTTGTCGCTATTTTTCCACAAGTTCCTCACAACCATAAACCTGAGCTTCGAGTATTATGTTGATGTTTGTGATGACAATTGTTTCTGTAGAACATGACAACCATAATTTTCCTTTCCTTGTCATACTGTTAACTCAAATCTCAACAAAACCATGTCCTACATTAAATTCAATCAATTAAAATCCTATGAAAACATAACTAAATCAAAACTTTCCGTGCCATCCTCTACACATACTCAAATCAAATCTTTACCAAAAATCTAGAACATGATGGGTGTAAGTTATATGTTGGACATGACTGGCGTTGAACCATTAGAATATGGTGGGGGTAAGTTATATGCCTCGCTGCAATGCAGAGACAATTAGCTAGTATATAGATTGCTTTTAACTTTCGAGTACATGTTTTGCATGACAAATTTGCCCCAAACTGGTAACCAAACAGATAGAAAAAAATTACATGTTCCACAACGAAACAAGACACCGATGAACAATTTGACTGGTTAGATCCTAAACATTAGTTATGCTGGTTTGTCTCTTGGCTGACAGAATTTTTCCAGGGACGACTAACATTCAGCCACACAGAATTTCATGGCCATTCTGGTCGAAATAGGAAATGTACATGGCGGAATCAAACTCTTTCGAGCTCAGTGTTGTGCTTGCCCAGCTGGTCCTTTAGTTCTTTCTGCCACCCTTCAATGAGACTCTTGTGCTTGGCAATGAGCTCAGACCTAGTCTTCAGTTCTTCCTCCATTGTAGTAATCTCCTGCAGCTCAAACATGAAAATACGTTCAGAGTTGGCAATTTAGTATTTACCTATTAAGCTTCAAGGCCATACTGCATATGACTTTTCTCAACTTCCAGGTACTTAGTACAAGATAATATACAGAATAAACAAAGCCTGCCTTTTAGGGGGACAAATAAATAAGGCCTGTGAAGTGTTTAATTGTACCCGTCTCAACATAATTGCATATTCATGTGGGAAACCATTTTTGTTTTATTTTCAAGCAAAAAAGAATTTTAAGAAGGCTACTGGTTTCTTAAGATTCTTCACTTCTGAATCTGTCTAACTGTGTTAATTTTTATATCATTTAATAGTACGGAACTGAGGCTGAATAGCACAAAAGCATTGCATCAAGTCACCCAATCACAAAAATTACGCTCCCTGCAAACATACATCGTGATATTTTTTCATAAAAATTATATACTTCTGCAGTGCACAATCGAGGCTAATAGTAGCACAAAAGCGTTGCATCAAGCTCCTCAAGCACAAACATTACGCTCCCTATTCACATACCTATGCTTTTTCATAGAAGTGAAAGTGAGGTCAGATTACAATTAGAACTGCTTTTACAATGGTGCCCGTAGTACCAAATATAATTTTCTTCAAACAAACATGTTACCAGAAGATAATAATAAATGCTTTTGCAGTTTCTCGGGCAACTGAGAAATAACTCTTTAAGTCAATGCTTAGAACCATCCGATCTGAACATCGGAATTCGTCCCAAGGGATGAGAAGATATTGATCGGACGGCTATCAATGTCGACTGTATAATCACTCCCCCATCAATTCCTAGCTGATAAACTCATGCAAGAAACTACTACTCTCTCTGTAACTTAATGTAAGACGTTTTTGCAGTTCAAGAGAGGTAGTACCAAATAACAAAAACTCAAAATCCCCTCTCTGAAAATTCAATTCGCTGCCTTGCTTTTAAAGCCCGCTTGCGGCGTATCTTCAGCACCTGCCATGCTGTGCTTGAGACTACTGCCTTATCCAAATAGGCCATTAATATTAGTTGATAATAGTAAAAGTTTATCGTTCAAATTAGTTATTTTTAAGGACCACCAACAATCATAAGGGTTGGATTATGGGTTGATCAACTCGTGTCGAGAATACTACCAATGAAATTAAACCAAAACCGATTGCATTCCTTTTACCACCCTCTCCCTAGCCATTCCAACTCAGGAGTCACCACCCACCTATCACGCCACTATGGTGTGCCAAACCTCGCCCACCCTCTGCCTAGTAGCAGCAATGTAAGAGAACGTTATAGGTTTATTCCTAGAGATCCCAGGACAACTCCAATCACCACTGTCTCTCCCCTAACACACAGAATCATGTACATATCCACAGAAAGCAATGAAGTGATCCCAAGTGAAGGATCTAGCTGAAGAATCACACCTTACGAAGCAGTTCTTCGTTTGTTGGTTGGTCCTCGCGCTGCATGTCGATGAAGCAAGACTGAAGCTTCTTGGCTGCCTCCATGAAATCCCTGGCGTGCCTCTCGACATCAACTGTCCACAGCAAAACCACAGTCATCATCTCCAATTTGGCACTAGTAAGTAACACAGCAGTCGGAACTACAGATACACAAATTGCTCTAGTCTAAGCACCTGATATCTAATCTACCGGGAATCAAATAGGCCAATCACAAGATAATCCCTAAAACGAACACCTGGCGCGCGCGAGGGGAGAGCGGGGCCAGTGACCAACCAAGAAGACGAATCTTGGCCCGAAACATGGCCGCTCGGATCGACAAGGGGGGGAGGAGAAGGGAGGACGGCGAGAGAGGGTTCGTACTCTGGTGGGAGGACTGGAGGGAGCGGTCGACGGCCTGCAGCTCGCGCGCGGGGAGGCACGGCAGCAGCGCCGCCTCCAGCGCAGCCACGCACGCCATCATTTCATCCCGCGCGGTTGCCGCGGGCGTCTGCTGCTGCGTGGGCGGCGGCGTCTGCGCCGGCGACTGCGACGGGGGCGGCGGCGGCTCTGCCATGGGAGAGACGGGGAGATGGGGATCGCGAAATCCTTTGGAACCCCCGGTTCGGTTAGGCGAAGATATCGCCCGTTCGTTGGAGGATGGACGGCTGTGACGATAAAGAAAGTTTGTGCT